TTTTTTCTTTTTCTTTTTTGAAAAGCAAAGACAATTTTCCATTATAGGAGTGTTGGGTGTACTCCAAACCTTTTACAGGGATATATGTGCTCATTCAGCAACTAATTCCCCCAAAATACATATAGCCTTAGAAATAATCGAGTGCCCCTTCCTATGAAATCAGTTGCTTACTCTGGTATTGTCACCCTATTTGCCTTTTCCTTGCTGCAACACCTCTTAAGCAAGATACCGGGTCCTGGATCCAATCAGACAATGAAAAAAGACAGCTTTTCTTTCTGCATTTCATCCAGTTGAAGGACTTAGTTGAACCAATTCAAGCAACCTGCATTTGTCAACTTCTTTTCCTTAAATATGCTATCATTTCTTGCCAACCAAACTGTCCACACAACCACAAACCATATGCACCTCCAGCCCTCTTTTATACCTGCCACTTTGAGAGCCGAAGGATGCTATTGAAATACCTTACACCCTTCTTTGTCCAGCGCTGTTCTAAATCCCCACCACCTGAAGCAAGCATTCCACAGGTAATATGCCACTTTGTAGTGCGTGAATATGTGGCTGGTTTCCTCTATTTGGTGCCCGCAAAATTCACATTTGCAATCCTCCATGTTTTGAATTATACCTCTTTTGAGAAGATTTGCCTTTGTAGGGATTTTATCCTGTAGAAGTTGCCATGAAAATGCTGAAACCTTATTTGGGACCATTGCATTCCATACTTTTTGAAGGGTCACTCCCAGTTGTTCCCGCTTGAGCTCCATTGTGAGTGCCTTGTAAGCAGACCTTGTTGTGTATACCCCATTGTTGCTATGTATCCACTCCCATACATCAGTTTTTCCTCTTGTGATTGTTGTTTCCTGAATTTCCTTCAAGATCTCTGCTTCTTCTTGGACTTCCCAGCTATATAACCTTTTCCTCCACTGCAATTTCCATATCCAGATGCCATTGAGCCACCATCCCATCTGTGAAACTGTATTATCTTTACCTACAGATATTAAGTAAAGTCTTGGGTATTTGTTAGCCAATATTCCTCTCCCACACCAATCATCCCACCAGAATTTTACACTATCCCCTTCTCCTATTTTAATTCTCAGCCCCTTTGCTAACCAACCCTCATTCTCCTTATCTGTGACATTCAGCCTACAAATATCCCTCCACCATCTTGATTCGAAACCATTACCCTCCCTCAACCAATTATATCTTGGTTCCCATCCCTGCCATATTTCTGCAATATTACTTTTTTCCATAGTCCATCTTCCTCATTAACCAATCTCCCCCACCACTTCCCTAGCAAAGCTAGATTAAACTTCCTTAAATCCCTCACACCTAATCCCCCCTTCTCTTTGTCCCTACAAACCTTGTCCTATCTAACCCAATATATTTTCTTTCCTCCCTCCACCCCTCCCCATAAAAATCTCCTACGGAGTTTATCAAGAAATAGAATCGTACCTTTCGGGATCATGTTCACGGACATCCAAAACACGGGTAGACTGAATAGCACTGAGTTAATGAGAGTGATCCTTCCTCCTAGAGATAAGTATCTCCCTTTCCATGTGGATAGTTTTTTGGTCACGCCCTCCAGCAATGGTTTCCAGAATGAAAGCTTCCTACACCTCCCCCCAATGGGTATCCCCAAATACTTAAAAGGCAAGTATCCTTTACTTCGATGCCAATGAGCTGACTTTTGTTAAAATTTATCTTTAGCCCCGATACCAGCTCGAATGTCCTCAAAATGCTCTTCATAGCCCATACATTTTCATCGGTAACTGTGCCGAACAGCAATGTGTCATCTGCATATTGGAGATGTGTGACCTTGAAACCTTTATCTCCCACTTCTACACCTTCAAGTAGACCTTTGTCCACTACATTCAAAACCAACCCATTAATCCCTTCTGCAATAATCAAAAATAACAATGGGGATAGTGGATCCCCTTGCTGAAGACCTCTGGAGATAGTGAATTGTCTTGTAGGGCTGCCATTGACCAAAACCGACACCATGCTTGAACTTAAGCACTCCATAATCCATTTTCTCCAAGTATTTGAAAAACCCGTCTTTTGCAACATAAATTCAAGAAATCTCCGACTAACCTTGTCATAAGCTTTCTCAAAGTCAATCTTAAACAAAAATGCATCCTTCTTCTTCTTTTTTACTTCATCAATGACCTCATTTGCTATTACAACCCCATCCATTAATTGCCAACCGCTTAAAAATGCCATTTGCTGTTCACCAACTTTTCCAGCCAACACCTTCTTAAGTTGGTTAGCAAGTAACTTTGCAAGGATTTTGTACATTCCCCCGATCAACGAAATTGGTCTATACTCTTCTATTTTCTGTGGATTCTCAACTTTTGGCACAAAAACTATGAATGACGTATTTAGAGCCTTCACAAGTTTGCCATTCTTCTGAAATTCATGTAGAACTTCAATAGCATCCCCTTTGATTGTCTCCCATTCACTCTTGATGAATTTAAAATTGAAGCCATCAGGTCCCGGCACTTTTGAACTTTCACAGTCCCAAACAACTGTCTTGATCTCTTCTTCAGTGAAAGATGCAGTGAGGAAGTCATTATCTGCTAGGGAAGTTTGTTTGAATTGGAGTGCTTCCAAAGATGGTCTCATCCATTGCTCCTCCGTGAATGTTTCCTCAAAAAAGGTGGCAATTTCTTCTTTCAATTTATTAGCCTCTGTAATCTGAACTCCCTTTACATGAATGCTATTCATTTCATTCCTCTTCCATCTCCCCTTCACACAATTGTGGAAAAATTTCGTGTTTGCATTTCCATTCGCTAGCCATGCTTTGCTGGATTTCTGCTGCAGCATACTCTCTTTGTATCTAATGTTGTCCCACAAAATCAAAAATAGTGTAACTAATGTGATGATGTTATGAAGAAAATTATTCCTGCCTGTGAAAGGCGACAAAGAAAAAGGATAAGAAGGTACTTCGAAAAAGAGAGACTCGAGAGGACAAAAATTTTGATGGCCGAAAGAAAAAAATATAGCATTTGTTAATGTGCACTTTGTTTTTTTTCCTTTGAATGGAGATAATATCTTCAGCTCATCAACATTGACTTGACCAATGGTGGAGAATAAACCTAGGGGGACCATGACCATGTAATTAATTGTAATAACAAGTGGTCGGTCCATCTCGCAATTACTATTTAAAGTACTGTTCAAAAAAACTAATCTCACAATTACTCAAAATGAGTTTTTGTGTTCCACCTATATTCTCATTGCATGTTCCACCTATATGACATATATGGGTTCAAAATTAGAATTTCAATTAATATATGTTTAGTTTAATCAATTTTATTAATTTGTGTATCATTAATTAAGGTATTTAGCAATATTAATTTAAACTGATTTTAAACTAATATTATGTGTATTATCAATTCAACAATACATATTAATTATTAGAATCTGGATTAATAGTCAAACTAAAGAATTTTAATCTCGAACCCACTTAAATTATTAGCATGATAATGTTTTTCTATCCAAAAATAAGTAAAATTTGATAAGTACTCACTACAAATTAATTTATGATTTATATGAGGAATCAAACCAAAAGCAAATATTCTTTATGGATCATAGATATATATCATTAATAGTTAAAAGAAGGGGATACAAAGCAATTGCATCGGATCACAGGACCGATCCAATACCAAACACAGGTGAGGTGAATGACGAGGAACAACCTAAAAGAGCACTGGCTCTATGCTATTCAAACCAAAGCATCTTTCCAATTATGCATCTAATTACATTAAAAATGATAAAAAGAGGAAAAGAGCACCCACTACAAAAACAGTTGGGTGATTGTTATTGAACAAATTTTTTTTTAAATATTAAGAATAAGATTCGAATCTCACACCTTTAAATATTAGTATAAGATTTCAATCTCACACCTCTAAATCTTAGCAAGCAAAGTCCTTTATAAAGATGAAATGATCATCAAAGTATAAGGACGTTTTTTAATTGTTATTGAACTATTTAAAAGACCATTATTAAGAAAAAAAAGTATTATACAGTTTAGATAAGGATATATTGCACTCTCATTTATCCGTGATTCAGTGCAATTTGAGCTTAAAAAAAACCTTACTCTTATCAGAATCTAACAAAAATCAATTCTGGTCATCGTCATACGTACAGTCAAACAAAAACAGTGGAAAAGATGCTTTGTGTTTTAATTAGCAGAAATTAATCATCATCCTCATCATCATCAGAATCTTGTTTTTCTTCATCCTCACGTGCCATCAGATCACTACATGCCAGTTAATCAAAAGGGGAAAATATGAGAGAAATCGGATTAACTCCAAGAAGATATTCAGGAACGGTGTTATGAAAACCAACCGGAGAGTTTGCGCAAGTTGCTCGCCGGTGAGGAAGTCGCCTGCATCTTCAGCTTCGAAAATGGCAAGATTAATATGGACAAAGGCCTCTGCGAAAGCATTGTCTTGGTATACTTGCTGATGTGCTTGCCGATTGGCTATCCTGACCTCTTCATATTGATTTTGCATTCTTCTCAGCTTCGCTTCGGCTTTCTTCTTTGACTTCTTACGCCGTTTTGTTCTTGCTCGCAGCTGCTCTACCTTCCTCTCCATTCGTTCCATTTCCTTTACCAAAATGAATAAAAAATAAAAATTCTGATTAAAAATGGAAAAAAAGAGATGAACTTCAAATTAGGTTTGAGAGGAGGTGTTCAAAACTATGCAACACCCCATCTAGAAAGATTTGGTTTGATTTCTACCTGTAGTAGTATGTGCTTCATTTCCGGTGAACTCTGATATCTCCTCTGTCCTACCTATCTCCGATCGACCTAGCTACTGGCTGGAGAGAGGAGTGTATATGGTGGGGGTGTAGGATGAGACTTAAGAGTAAAAAAGGCGAAGGCTTTAAAATGATGATGGAGGGGGTGGAATTAGAATTCTCTAGAACGGATTAGAAGAGATAGAGGGATTGGAATCAGGAAAGAAGATTCTTTTCTTAACGCGGTTTTGGAGTAGCTGGCAACGCCGCGAGCGCGCGCTATTCTTCCAGCCAGCCGCGCGTTAGCTCTAACCTATACTGCTTATCTTCGGCCGAGTGTCGTCAGGATTGACCCACAGTTTAATTGTTATATTAATATATGACGATCGGATCCATCCTTCTTGAGGATCCGCCGTCTGCGGTTTGGATTTGGGGCGGGCGGCCGGGTTTAGCCATTCGCTTTTCTGGATTATATAAACCATTGAATGTACAGAAATGTTTTCGGGTTCGGTAGTCCTACTACTGATACTCCGGTTAGGAGAGGCCCCTTGAATGTGGGGCTATCCCTTCCTTCAAAAGTTTACTTTTACAGTTCAGTCTATAAAGAATTACAAAAAAAATTATAGGATTCTTGGATGTAATTGGCAAAAAAAATTTTTCTAACAAAATTCTAGGCATATGTGATCCAAAAAATTACAATTTCATCATTAGAAGCAATAATAATAATGTCAAAATAGAGATTATCAATTGTCCCAAATGAAAAGAAATTAAGAAAATTTGAGTTGAATTAATTATGAGTTAAAATGAAGTTTTCTTAATTACTCATGTACTGTGGTGTGAAGAAAACCAATGGAACTATTAGATATGCTTTTTGAAGTGAAGAAACCAATTGAGCAAGAATATATAGTGTGGGAAACAAATGCTGGTACCTCCAGCCTCACAAACTTCACTTGCTTGATTAGCAGGGTTCTTGATAAACGCACAACTGAAAGCAGCTGCCTGATAATCCTCCCACCTGCCATCAAGCGTCAAATAGTACTCCTCTGGGAGCTCGAAATTGAAGTCATCATTCATCACCGTGGTTAGTTTCCGGTGAGTCAGGTGACTAGAATTTTTACCAGATATATAGATATTGTTACCATCCTGTTCAAGTTTGCAATTGTTTTATACGCATGCTGGGCTTGGCGGCTTGGCCAGTACGGTAGTTTCCCGTGAGCTACCGCCGGTATTACAAGGAAGCTTCGGTGGTAATGCTATTGCCTAGAATTAATACCTATCATTCAATACGCGAGCGCATACAAAGGATGAATTAATAATATTTCTTTGTGAATTTAGCTTTAGGGCTTGTGGTGAGAACAATCCCTTTACAATGAATATTCTAATTCTAATCTGATCTAAATAATATCAGTACTTGCAATGATTTTTTTATATAATGGTTCAACCTATAGATATTGGGTGATATCGTTGGCAAGTAAGTCAATTCTACAAGAGCATAGCGGAAGCAAAAATCACCATTTAATTCTTCCTAATCAAATAATAATCAGATCGCTAGAACACCGTCTCAGGAACGCCCCGGACCGAAGTTCTAACTATGATCATGAGTTTGATTAATTTGATCAAAGCATAAAATTTTCTGCACCAACTCTCTTTTCTTTCTATTTTCTCTCCCTTTCTGTCTTTCACATGTTCTCCACCACCCTCACATACAGCAAAATAAATCATTCCACACTTTAAGCTGCGTCTAAAATAATGGCTTTTATCCATCTAAATTGCTCTTTTCTCCATGTGTAGGGAGAAAAAAACCCAAATCTAGCAGAGATGTAGATCAAGACGCGAGAAATTGAAAGTAGGCAGAACCCCCAATTCATTCTGTTCCAAAAAATAATTTCCTTGGGATCTTTCTAATAAACTCGATCTGTTATTTATTCGAAATAAAAATTTTACTTAAATCATAAGTAATTTCATTTTAATAAAAATAAAATATCTTATATTCAAGTAATGAATATTTTTAACTCCATTTGTTATTCACAGTATTAGCAATACGGTAGTCTCAAAAAAGGGAGCAAGAGTAAATAAAATGAAGATAAAATTAAGTACCATTCCTAAATAGACTTAAAATATCATTTTTATCTGCACCTTTATTTATTTAAAATTAAAATAATTAATTAATTATTCTTCATCATGCCCTAAATCATGTTCATCATCTTTATAAACCAAAGGCAGAAGGTGCAATTCAGCCCCTCGACGTCCATTGTTGTGGCGCATCAGCCCCTCTACCTAAAAGTAAAGCAAATCAGCCCCTCCACTTGACAAAGCCGGCAAATCAACCCTTCTGCTGACGATGACCTCATCAAATGTCATCTTTCCGTCCACATCCTTGTTACTCCGTTACCAAAAAGTGGCTTGGT